TCTTCTTCTTCTTCTTCTTCCTTTTTAGATCACTATAGTTTCTTCCCGCTCGGAGTTCCGTCATCATTCAATACCACCCTTCCCAAATCCTTGACCCTTACTTAACGTATTTTTAACTAACAGACTCTAAAAGTGAGTGCTATTCCTCACGTTTATATATTTATTCACAGTGCTCAACCAGAGATGGCTCCTAATCATTCAAACCCTATTCGTCCTCGGAGTCCAAGTCAATCACAGCCTTGCAGGCTTCCCTCTTTACGCGATTCACTCACTTTGGTATCTATTCATAGGCTGATTTTTACTTTTTGGAAATATGCTATCTTCAAAGGTAGCAAGACTCTTGAATGCAACCTAGGTCCTCTTTGCGATCCGAGAACTGAGTCTCAGAAAAAAATGTCTTGCCCTGAGATACTGATGGTAGTGATAGAGTCTGAATCTAGTTCTCAGGACTCTTGTCCGATTTCTAAGTCACCTCTACACATACCCAATCTTTCCCGACATTTCCCAAATGATAATGCAAACAAAATGCAAATACCAAGGTCATGTGAGACTTTATTTCGCATGACAAGAAGTGTCCACCCTATTATTAAGCACAAGAATGATATATACCTCTCCAAATTAAATGAAAGCTGAACACAGGGCGGAGCATCAAAAGGAGAGAGATGGATAATCAAACTACCTCCTCGCCGCTACAAGGCTGACAGCTGGGAATGGTGGCACAGGCAAGAGGAAGGAGAACCACAAATTCAAGTCCAAATTAGGCAAGACCCTAGCAGAAAGACCCTGCCTCAAATAAAAAATGAAAGGATTGGAAATGTAGCTCAGTGCGAAGGACTTGGGTTCAATCGGAGAGAGCTGTTACAGGTCCTCACTGCACACAGAAATTCTCCTTTGTAGGTCAAGTCATCAAAGTCTACTAGTTGGGACCGCGAGCTTCCATCACATTCCTGCCCTCCTTTCCTCCTGACCTCATTCTCCCAGTCACTACACGAATATACACGCATAGCTGCTTCAGCCTTGCAGTTCCTTTCCCTCTTCTGTACTTTCGCAACCCGCATCGCACAACCTGAAATGCTCTCCCCGGAGATCCTCCCGCAAATTCTAAATCGACTCTCACCACTCCGCTCAGCCGGCTTCTATACAAGGATCTCGATCGCCCTCCAAAGATGAACCTGTCTCAAAGCGAGAACTGAGGGCAACTCCAGGGAGCGTGGGAAGAACACTCCCGCCCGGCCCCCTGCCAAAGGAACGTCTGCCGCAAAGTGCTCTTGGACCGACCGAAGAGCCCCTAACCGGGAGCGCGCTCAGTGTCCGGCCTCGGTCTCCTGCCCGCCGAGGGGAAGGCAGGTTCACAGAGGCTGAGAGTCGCCCAAAGAGGGCATGCGTGCCACCAGCGAAAAGTGCCCAAAGGCGCCCGCCCACGCCCAGCAAGCCAGCGGAACCGGCGCCTCACCTCACTTGCAGCCCCGGCAGCAACTCTGCTTTACGGCACTGACGGCCACCGCCGCAAAAGGGGCCGTCAAGTGCAGAGCGTTGGACCCTGGCCTGGGTGGTGTCGGGAAAGTCTTTGCGGCAGGAGTTGTCCTCAGTTTGTCTTCTCGCCACTTTTTACTGACCCTTATCGATTTAAAACCCAGCCACAGCGAAAGCCCTTTAATCTCCTGCCGAGGTAACAGCAGCGCCATGAGGCAACGAAGGCTTTTAGAAAACCCTCTCGATGGACGATAAAGGAGCACCTGCTAAACTGTTTGCCTCATTCTGAGCGCTCCAGATAAAATACAGAATGCCAGCTAAATGTAAACTTAAAATAAACTGATTTTTTTTTTAAAGTGCTAACCAGAAGGAGATTTAGGACAACTTCTCGAATTCTAGCTTGGATATAAGTAGCCGAGATGGGGGTAACAGTCTGGTGGAGCTTGGACGTCGTCCTCATGGGCACTATAAA